GATGAGATGGGGAAGATCTTCCGCAGCAGCCGGACTCCAGCAGGCCCTGGAGCACCCGGCTCAGTCTACTCTCGATTTCATAGGCAGTGGGGAGCCCGGGGGGCTTTGCCCGTGGGAAGGATCTGATTCGAACTGTGCTCAGCAGGCGGTGTTGTGGAGAGGAGGGCGCATGTGGAATGAGGGCACATGTGGAATGAGGGCACACTGAATGGTAACAAGTTAATCAGTTAGTCGGGATGCTCGTGGGATCCCCGGTGGCTCCTGGTAATTAATTTTCAGGTTACCCACCCAGTGCCACTGAGTGGCGGGGAGGGGCTGCTCCCCGTGTGCACAGTCGCCAACCTCAGTGGACTCCGGGATGCTTGTGTGATCATTGCCCCGGGGGCCGGCTGAGCACGGGCTTCTAGCTCGCGTGGTGTGCAGGTGGGTTGGGGCACAGGAGCGGTGAAGGCGTCAAGGAGGAGGGGTGGCGGCACCGCAGGGAGTGACTGAGGCCCTTGCAGGAGGCCTGCCATCCCCTCTGTTCCTCTCCACCTCGCCCTGCCGCGTGACCACTAAAGCAGGCCTTCAGAAGGCTCTCCAGTGGCACCGCACCGGGTCTCGCTCCAGGCTCACAGACGCAGGTGCGCATGAGGGACACAGCTGAGGTGGCCAGGGTGTGCCCACGGAGTGCTAAATAAGTGTGGACACTTGCACGTGCGTGCACATGCGTGCACATGCCCCTCCCCGAGCAGCAGGTTCTGCACGGGGTCTGGAATCCAGGCAAAGCTTCGGAGGGAGGGTGCGGAGGAGACGGCTCCTGTTCTATTGCAATGCAAATGCCTCGGCGCTCGGAGAAGGTGGGGAAGGGGGGCAGCAGAGGAGGAGCGCACAGAGAGCCTGGGGGTGGCGACGAGAAGAATCGCAAGAACACGTCACATTTCTATAGCTGCTTTCTTCGAGGGAGCGCAAACGTCCCCGTGGGTGGGGCGCTTTGTTTCAGAGACAAGCCCCTTTGGAAACAGCGTTCCAAGACGTGGTGCCCCCGGGTTTCCGGACTTCTGCCTCCTCCGGGGAACGTGCATGAACACTTGTCACGTGCCGGGCGCCGTGCAGGTGCTGGGGGTGAAGGAGAACGCAGATCAGCAGAGGAAAAGAGCCGACGGGGTCGGTGCGGTTGAAGGGCGATCCCGTCGGGAAGCGGAGATGTTGGTAGAGGCCGTGCGGTCCGCGAAGGCGGCAGAGAGCCCTGGTTCTGGGACTGGGTGGGAAATGCCCTGAGGGGCGGGAGGGGAGAGGCACCGGGAGGAGAAGTTCATGCGAAGGGTCGGAGGCTTCGAGAGCATGTGGGGCCCCAGAGATGCCGGTAACAGTCCTGGGCCTAGGGCGCCTGTGGGGACGTGGTGAGAGCCATCGGCCTCGGTGACCTGGCACCAGTGTGGACGACAGGCTGGGAGGGGTGGGACTGGCTCTAGGACCCCGGCTAGGAGATTGGAGACTGTCCGGGTGAGTGAAGAGGAAGGCTTGAGGCTGTGGGACGGAGGAGGGCCGTGGGGGAGTCACCGACGAGGGAGCACAAGCAGGACTCGGGGAGGGTTGGCTGCGGAGGACAGCAGGGTGGCTCCTGGTGCTTTCTGGTGCCATCTGGTGGGTGGGGTGACCTTAACCAGGACAAGGATACCCACAAGGAGGAGCAGGCTACTTTCTGTCGTTCTGAGTGTGGAGTCTGTGGGCGCGCCCTGTGTGCACAGCTAGGTGTGTGCATCTTGCTTAGCAAGCAGGGGGGTCGGGCCAGAGACTCAGGTCTGGGCGACCGTGGCCTGGGGAGGCCATCTAACACAGATGAGCCCCCTGGAGGCAGTGGGGCTCTGGAAGGAGAAAAAGCCTCTGGGGTAACAGCAGCACGCAGGAGGTGAGCGGGGAAACAGAGCCAGACCCCCATCTGTCCCCCTCCACACTGGGGCTCTCCTCAAAGCCTCACCCAGTGGGACCCCCTTCATGGAGCTCCGCCACCCCCACTGCGTGGGAATGGGTCTCCTCGCCTTTCACAGCCTCAGAGCCTTGACCATCGGGACAGCCCTGTACACTCGCCCTGGGGCTCAGTAAGCACTGAATGGGGGGTGGGGGCTCAGGGAAGGGGGACTGGGCCTCGAGGACCTTTGTGAGTCCCTGCACACCCAGCACTGTGCTTGCACACAGTAGGTTCCCAATAAAGTAACTCTTAATGCCACCCTGACTCTTAAAAAGTACGTGTGCAAAGAAGAAAGCAACAACCCCACACCCCTTAACCCACACACCCGGAATTCCCCAGAGTCAGCATGTGGTGAACGTCGGTCCAGGTTTCTCTTCACGTGTGTGGTCGGATCAAAGACGAGATGGATGGGTGGAGGGGGTAAAAGACAGACTGAGCCATTTCACAAAAAGAGGATCATACGTATTTGCTGCTTGAGTGTGAAGAGCAGGAAACAGGACCTTACGAGGGTTAACCGAAGCGAAGGACACTGCAGTGAAATGGGGAAAGGGCTGGACTTGAGATAAATGCTAATTCACTGCAGGAGACACTAGTTCATAAGAGATCCGTCTGAGAGAGAGAGAACAGAAACCATCGCGGGGTTAGAGTCTCATGATGTTGTGCATGTGCATATGTGTGTGTGCGTGTGCATGTGCATGCATGTATGCATGTTTAATGGCACTGTTCCGTTTTAGATGCCACGTGCTGACTCTGCTTTAGGAATTCGCAGTGAAAGCAACTGCTGTTGAAACGGTGTCTGCCTCTGCCGGGTCCATCACACTCACATCCTGTCCCGCCGCCAGCCTTCCCCCGGCTGCCCTCCCTACTGTTGTCCTCAGGTAGACGTGCAGCTAACCACCCGTCGTTCTAACCATTCCTGCAATTACCATTGTTTTTTCTTTTGCATCGTCTCTTAGGACTTTGCAGGATTTTGTCACTGGACCACCCCCCACCCCGGGGGGCTGTTTCCTCAGTCCTCGGGAAAGAACTGGCAGCTGCTTTTGTACCCAAGTGGCCACTTGGCCAGTGTGATATTCTAGGGTCTCGTAGTCCCTCTGTCGCTTTCTTACCACGTCGCTGGTAGGACCCGGTGACCAGCCCCTCTCTCGTTCTCTGTGTTGCGAGCCCCTTGAGAGATGAGACGAAAGGGACACAGCGGACAGTGGGGCGAGGCTGACGCTGAGCCCAGCCAGGGTCGGCAGGGCTGGGCCGGGGCAGGCTTTCCTCCCGAGGGCAGAGCGTGTCCACCCAAACCAGGGTGTGGGGGAGCCGTGTGGGCTTCCTTGCTCCCAAGGAAAGGGGGAAGGAGGGGTGGGCTTCAAGGAGCCCTGATTTTCTCCCTTCCACTCACCAGTGTTCCTCCGCCGGCTACACAGAAGAGCAAGTGGGGGACAGAGACTTCTGCGGGGGGCTCCCTCCTCCCGGGAGGCTCCCTCTTTGTGGAACGGCTCACTGAGATGAAGGAAGAGGATTCTCCCTACCGCTTGCTTTGATCGCTGGCTTTACTGAACTCCTGTTGTTACTAAGTCTCGAACCCAGCGCAGAGAACGCTCAGGAACCCTGCTTCTGCTTCTCGGGGCATGTTTCTTCCAGTGAGTTTCCTCCAGTGCCAATGTGACAGTGAGCGAAGGACCTTGGACTTGGTGATTGGAGGACCTCACGTGGCTTTAATGAAACAGCACAGGTTCACGTTTAGTGGTGGGTCAGAAGTCAGGCCGAGTGAGGTCACAGAAAGAGCAGGAGAGGAAGAAGTGAAGATGTTCCAGAGGATTCTTTAGAGAAATTCGAAAACAAAGGAATAGAACGGATGGCACGTGAGAAAACACAGCTTACTGCAGCCCTCCACTGTCTGGGAAAAGTGTGCACGCTTGCAGGTGGCAGGGGAGAAGCTAAGAGGGAAGGAGAGACCGCAGACGGCCAGAAGGAAGGGCAGAGGTGGGGTGAAACAGGGAGGGGCCGATGCGGGGCGTGGAGGCAGGAGTCAGGGACCCCCACCCAGGAGGGGTAAGCCTTGGCAACAAGGGGAACTCTGTCCTGTAGTGGCCAAGGCGAGCCCACAGGCTCACAGGCACTCAGCAGCTCCCCATCTGTCCCGGGGCAGGGGACGTGGCCACCAGCATGGAACTCAGGAGAGACCAGCACACGGGCAGAGGCAGGTGGGAGAGGGTCAGGACCACCCGGGTCAGGGCACTGAGAGCAGAGTCGCCCAGGGACGAGACGGGTGAGGCTGAAGGGAGGCCTTCCCCTCGCTGCCTGCTCTGTGGGCCCATCTCTCCCTGCTCTGGCCCAGGCAGACTCGAGCGCTGCAAGATTCTAGAAGGCACAGCTGCTGAGGGTGGGGAGGACCAGCCAGCAGGGCGGGACTCTTCTTCGCACTCTGCCTGCAGTGGAGAGCACTGGAAAGGCCAGCCACCATGCTTAGCTTTCTTGCCTTTCACCTGAAGACAAAGAGAAGGAAGCCGTGCGTCACGGCCTAGTTGCAAGCCTGCAGCCATTCTCCTGGTGAGCAGACTGGAGCCCGACGTCGCCCTCAGAGGGAACGCTGCAGCGCTGGCTTCAAGACCTCACCGTCTCCTGTGGCCTCCGGTGCAGGACGAGTCCCTGGGATGGAGAGACGCAGGACGCAGGGGTGGCGGGGCTGCCCTGGGGATGCCGCAGGAGACCTCCGCATCCCCAGACCAGCCCCCGAACAGCCCGTCGGGGAGCAGTGACTTGCTAACAGCCTTGCTGAGGCGGTTGGGACGGGGATCCCTGAGTTCTGGCCCCCGTGTAAGCCTCTGGTCTGGAGATGTGACCAGCCTGGAAGTCTAGCGGAGGGAGAGGTCCACAGTCTCTCATTTGTCCTCCCCCCAGGGACCCGAGCTGGGCAGTGAGCCTTAGGCAGCCTCTTGAGGCTCAGAGGTGACCCACAGGCCCAGTGGCCTCACGCCCAGGTTTGAAGGGCCCCCTGTGGAGGTGGCCCTGCAGCCCTCCCCTGACCTCTGCCCCCCACCTCCCGCTGCCGGCGCAGGTACAAAGGCCACGTTCCCGGCTTGGACTACTCCTTCGGCTCCACCTATGGCAACGCCACTCTCAAGTACTTCCAGGACCACCGCAATGCAGCCCTGGAGAACAGCGGCACCGCCTTCAGCAAGGGCGGCCACTTCCCAACCCTCTGCTCCCCGAACCTCGACCTCGTGCTGTGTAGCCGCTCGCAGGCCCGGGCCCGCTGGCTGCACAGGCCCAGCTACACCCGCTTCAACCTGGACAATGATCGCTCCACCGAACTCTACCGCTTCTACCAGGTGGGCCGGGGCCGGCAGAGGCCTCTCACCCCCGGAATGCCGTTGCTTGCTATCACAGAGCCCCTGGGCCAGCAGGGCACCCAGAGAGCTAGGCTGGGGACAGGGCCCTGAGGAGAGGGCTCAGGACTCTGCTTCTTGGATCTCCCCTCCCCCAGGGGCCTCCCCCAGGGGCTCTGGTGGCTCAGTCCCAACTCCCCCGCTGCCCAGGGAGCTGGAGTGTTTGGGGGCACCCAGCAATCGCTGCTGCCCTGTAGCCTCTTGGCCCTGGGGACCCCTGCTTACCCCTGCCTGAGTGAAGGCTGAAGCTCCCCCAGATGAACACCAGGTGCACAAAGGGCCCACCAAGTCCGCCCCTGGACCCAGCCCCGAGTCTGCTCTCGGCCACATGTGCCCACCCGGAGCCAGGGGCCCACCTGACAGACACCTCCTGCCCCGCAGGCCTCTGAGGACCTGCCCCAGGTCGGCCTCAGCCCCAGGCTGGGCTCTAAGTGCCCTAGAGGCAAGTGCAGGGGGCCTGCCCACAGCCTGGTGTTCTTGTCCGGCTCCTCTGGCTCTGGTTCAGACGAGCCTCGGCCACCACAGGGGCTGGGCTACCCTAGTGGGGGCCAGGCCCATTCTCCGCCTGTTCCTGGCAACCTCACCGTCTCCCTTGCAAACCTCCCTACGGGCTGGTCAAGGTCACGGGTTCCCGGGGAGCTCCAGGGAGAAGACCAGGCCAGCGCCGTCAGATCTGAGGAGCTGTGGGGCCAGCTCAGTGCGCCTGCGCTGGCCTTTGCTCTCCATCTTGGCACACAAAGCGTGTTCCACCCAGGAGGGAGGGGAAGGGAGGAAAGAACATGCAGAGCTTACCTGTGCCACCTGCTGAGCTGGGCCTCCGATACCTAACCTCTGCTGGTCACTTGTGTCCTTTGCTCTCCGTAGCAAAGCTGGTGTGGCGCCTGGTCTTGTCCCCATCGGACAGGTGAGAGAAGCCAGGCTCAAGGAGGTCGCCAAGCTGGGGGCCGCTCCAGGGGGACTAGGGGAGGCAGACACCACCCTGGCTCAGGGGCAGCCAGGCGGGAACTGCAGGTGCCCAAGGCCACTCCCGCCCACTAACAAACCGTCTCCTCTCTTCCCGGGTGAAACGGCAGATGGCACAGGAGCACCGAAAGCACTATCGAGACAAGACGGACACGGTGCCCCGGGTCCCCTACTTCGTGCTGCCTGTGAAGGAGCGGGAACGGTACCCCATCCCCACCGACCTGTGAGTGCCTGCCTTCCCTCCCTCCATCCAGTCAGCAAACACATGTGCACAGCTCACTCGGGCTCAGCCGGGCACGCAGGCGCCCCAGACAGAGAACTGAGTCAGGGTCTTGCCCTAAAGAGCTTTTGCTCTGAAGGGTGACAGTTACAGAGCAAGGGGGTCAGGGTTCTGGGAGCTTCAGGATGCCAGGAACCTAATGGGCCGAACCAGGAAGAGCATTTTCCTAGCCAGATGCAAACCCCATAATTTTTGTGAGGCTGCATCTGTAGGTTTCTTCCCTTGCCCTGGCACTCGCCCAAACGCGGGTGCAGCTGCCCTGAGCAGCGAGGAGCTGCTGCCCTCTGGTGGATGTGGAGGACACTGCATAGAACAGGGAATCCTTGCCCCCAACCCCAACAGGACTTGGAAAACGTTCTCCTAGGGACTTGAAAATAGCTTTCAAAGTCCAACTGTCCGTCTGACAAAATATGAAAGTTCCTCCATCCTTGCACCTGACTGCTTTTATCCGGGAGGGCTTTCTTTCCCCCAGAGAAGGGCAGCTGGGCCCTGCAAGATGTCCCAAGCAGGGGGATCAGAAGTCTGTGCCATGAAGGTGTCGTGTGGGGTCAGGGGTACTGAGGGGTCGGGGGCATCAGGACATCAGTGGGCAGGTCTTGGGTTTCCAACTCCATGCTGACCCCTGGCTTGCCCCAAGAGCCCGAGCCTCGTCATTATCATTGTTGATAAAGCAGCAATGCTTTCCATAGAATAATTCTTTCAAATAAACATATAACTGCCTCTATAGGTTCCCCTCTGCAAGATAGATGAGCCCATTTTATAAATAGGAAAACTGAGGCTTAGCAATGGTCTCAGAAATTTGTGCCAGGTGGCAAGTCTGGTTGGAGGTAGAACCTGGAGGAACCCAGGCTTCCTGACGCCACCTCTAGGACCCTGGTTAGCCCTCTCCCTGCTTGGGGTGGCTACGAGTCAGCCCAAAGCTGGAGTTAGTGTGGGGCCTCTCCTGGGGTTGCACCTCCTCCTGGAACCACTCTGGGCAGGATCTGCATCTCCCACAGCTGCAGAGCGCCCGGGACACCCAGCTCTGTTTCTTCTCCCAACTGTCAGGCATCCTGTGCTGTGTGGGTGGCTCCGTGTCCAACGCAGAGGGCCCGCCAGGCGGTTGGGAGTCAGGGGGTCACCACCTGCAGCCATCCCTTTCCTTGATTGCTTCTGTGGCCTGGAGCAAGTTCCTGCCCTTCCCTGAGTTTCATTGCCATCAATACCATCACCATCATCACCATTACCACCACTATCACCATCATTACCACCATCATCATCACCATCACCACCACTACCCATTACCATCACCATGACCATCATCACCATGACCACTATTACCATCACCAATCCTACCACCATCATTATCACCACCACCACCACCATCCATTACCATCATCAACACCATCACCATCACCACCACCATCACCACCACCATCACCACCACCGTCATCACCATCACCATCATTATTACCACCACCACCACCACCACCATTCATTACCATCATCGATACCATCAACATTACCACCACCATCACCATCACCACCATCATCATCAACACCACCATCTATTACCATTATCACCACCATCCATTACCATCATCAACACCATCACCATCACCACCACCATCACCACCACCACCACCACCGTCATCACCATCACCACCACCATCATTATTACCACCACCACCACCACCATTCATTACCATCATCGATACCATCAACATTACCACCACCATCACCATCACCACCATCACCACCATCATCATCAACACCACCATCTATTACCATTATCACCACCATCCATTACCATCATCAACACCATCACCATGACCATCACCACGACCATCACCACCATCATTATCATCACCGTCACCATCCACATTCCTTAGAACACTGGTTGAGTGTTTGCTCCTTGTTCAGCGTTGTGCTAAGTGCTCTATATGCGTCACCTCACTGACGCCTCAGCACAGAGCGAGGAAGGAAGCACCAACACCTGTTCACTTGGTGTGCGCACACTTCCAGCAGCAGTGGGGCCCGAATCCATTCCAGGTCTGCCTGCCATCCGTGTCCCCGCTCTTAAACGCTCTACCCCAGTGCAAATGTAACCTGTGTCAAGGACAGGGTGACTTGCCAGATGCTGAGCTGACGCACGGCCCACAGGGTGAGAGGCCACATGGGCTAGGGACTGGGCAGGTGGGGCCGTGCGGGGTCACTTTGCACCCTCCCTCCCTGGCACACCACCTAACGCTGCCTCCACCCTCACCCCCAGGCCTCCGCTGAGCCCGAAGGATAAGTGGCACCTTTTAAGATTGTCCCCCGACAACCTGAAGACCTACCAGACGTTCCCATCTGGGAAGAGGGTCTCGTCACAGGAGCGGCAGAAGAGAGACTTGTACTTTGAGTTCAGAGCATGATGCCTGAGAGCCGTGGCCCCAGCCAGGCTGGCTCTTTGGAATAAAATATTTAGCCGTGACTCCCCCACACTCCTCTCCTCTGAGCTCCAGGAGCTCTTGGCCGCAGAGGGTCACACAGCACAGTGTCTGAAGGGCTGTGGGAAGCTCAGCCCAAGGGCTTCAAGCCAAGAAAAAGTAGTGTCCAGGGACCTGCTCGTCCGCCTCTCCCCCTGACGTGAAGGGGGTAGAACTGAGGACTGTGGGGCCCCTGAGTCTTGGTGGCAGGTCACGCAGGTGTGGAGATACCTCCCACTGGCATAACCGAGGAAGCCCCATTGTCCCATGTCTGCAAATGAGGGTGCAGTGATCCCAGATGGTTGACCTGGGTGTCATATACAAAGGAATTCCTGTTTGAGCCCGGGCTCAGTGTTATTTAGTCCACACAACACCCTGTAACAGTGGAGGTGCTACTGGTAGACCCTGAGGCCCAGAGAATTTGCCCACGTTCACACAGCCTGGAAATGACACAGCCAGGACTTGAACCCAGGTCTTTCTGACCGCCAGGCCCTGGTTGTGGTCCAGATGGAGACTGGGCGCAGGGAGGGTGCAGCCCTTTGGATCCCAAAGGACCCTGCGGTGCCCCAAGGAGAAGCGCACCTTCCTGCGTCCTGCCCAGACTGGCATGGACACGCTGACTGGCCATCTACCCCGGGACCATTTCTAAAAGGGAACAGGAGGGAGTGACCCAGGACTAAGCCACTCCTCAAGGACTGTCTATGTTGCAGGAAGCTCTAGGCCAGACGTGGACGCTGGGAGTAGGTTCTGAGATCACGTGCCTGAGGTGGCCTGGGAGGCCAGGGTCTGGAGTGTCTGCTCTCACCAGGCTGCTGCTTCCACCTCCTGGGAGCCCTTTTGCCTAGGACAGAGGACAGGGTGCGGGTGACAGCCCCATGATGGGCAGGACCTGGGATGGGGACCGCAGACCAGTAGGAGCCCCCCAACATCGCAGCGTCTCCTGGATTTGATCCAGCGACTCCATCCAGCAACAGGGCCCTTCTTACCCCTGAATGGTGAGTCAGGACCTGCAGGCAAGGGGACCACTGCGGGCTCAACGCAGGGCGGGAGACGGCCCTGCCCTGTGGGCCAGCACTCAGACCCCTCCCCCCAGGGCAGTGTGCATGAGCGAAACCATGTTCCCGCCAGAGAGGCATCTGACAGCCCTCAGACAGCCCCAGAAGGGGCCTCTCCTGTGTCCCGGAGTCCCCGGCCGGCTGGGCCCCAAAGAGTTCTTGCGGGGTCCGAATTCCTCCCAGGCCTTGGCCAAATAGCAAAGCGAATAACCCCTGACTCCCGGTCACACACGGTCACATCCTGAGGGCCTGGGGTGCCAGGGGGGGCGAGATGGGATGACCGCTCTGAGCGCCTCACTGAGCAGGCGTCACGGGGAGACCCGAGGAAAGGTACGGGGTGGGGGGCCGTGGGCTCCAGTGAAGGGAGGGGAGGGCGTGTCTTTTCCCTGTGAATTTCACCCCGTGTGGCCCGGTCCCCGCTGCGACGATGGCTGGGGTTTGAAGCCTGCTCTCGGGAAGACAGGACATTCCAGCTTGCTTGGCATCGTCGGCAAACTTAAACCCTGGAACAAGCAGTTCTTAATAAAAAAAAAAACACTTCTATGTGACACTGCATTAAAAAAAAAGATGAGGTAATGGGGCAAAGAGAAGACGTTTCTTTTGCTTTATTAAATAAATAATGTTTTACAAGTGAGGGAGAGGCAAGAACAAAGCCACACGTCCCACCCGAGTCCCCTGGCTCGCGGAAGGGGCCGGATTCCGAGGTCCGCGGTCCCTCGGAGTCGCCGGAGCCGGGGGTCCAGGGCCACGTCAGCATCCCCAGAAGTGAATCCGGAAGGAGCTGCAAGAACCCACGAGCCACTTCGAGCCTGCAGGCCTAACACCCCCTCTGCCCTCTCCTGCCCCTTTTCCTGAGTGGCGGCCAGCCTGCGGCTCTCTCGAGCCAGCCCAGACCCTTCCTTAAGCAACGTTTAGTGTTGCTGGAGTGCAAAGGGCGTCAGGACTGTGTGATGCTGGAAGCCGTGGAAAGAAACGGGAGAGATTCAGAGAAAAACGGAAGGACGGGATTCTGGCCTCAATTACGTGGTGGGCTGTCGTGAAAGGAGAGGAATTACCCTTGGTTGGGGTGGTCCTACTAAGTGCGGACCCTCTTACGGAGAGTCTGCCCGAGCCAAGCCCCCTGCAGCCACGTTGGAAGGGAGCCCGCCCCTCCCTCCAGGTGGTGCGACGTGGCGTGGGCACCTGACTTGAGCTGGGCCAATCGGATCCTCGCTCTGCAAATTTGGGGCCACACATGGCTTGTTGGCCTTTTGGTTAAGAACAAGTGTAGATTTGGAGTCACGGCTGAAGGACATTACTTAGGAGTCCCCGAGGGGCATTGGAAGTCGAGGAGAAGCGGTCAAGGAGATGGCCGCTGTGCGGGGGCCACGTCTGGCCCCTGTCTGACGGGGCAGGGGTCGCTGGTCTGCATGCAGAGCTACGGGTGGAGGTGCCGAGGAGAGAGGCAGAGACTGGGCGCGGAGCTACCCCGGGTTGCTGACCGGGGGGTGGGGGCGCTCTGTGAGGTCTGGGTGTCTTTGTCCTATTCTGACTGGTTTGTTAAATCGTTTTGCGTGGGCATTCTTTCTTGCCCCCCAAGTCCCCCAGACTATGAGGCCGAGGGCAGAATAGGGCCCAGGGGCAGCAGTCACAGGCCCAGAGAGGCCAGGTCAGCACTGCAGGGGGCTCTCACAGGCCGCCTCCGGTCAGCGCTTTGCCCACACCTGGAAGGCTCCAAACAGATAGGGAAATGGTCAATTGTCTCGAGGGTGTTTGGGCCGGGCAAGACCATGAAGGCCCCTATCTGCCTGAAACAAGGTTTGAAAATGCTTGAATTCTTCTCTGAGTTCTACCACCAGCATCTTCACACCCGTCTGCACACCCCGAGACTCCTAGTGACCCCCAGAGGTTGCAGGGAAAGACAAAGGACTAGCAGTGGCAAAGGCAGCTCCCCAGGTGGGCCCCGGAGCCCAGGGGGCTTTGAGAGCCGCACGCAGGTGCGCTGCTGGCTGTAGGGGGCAGCACCTGGAGTCTGGACCACGCAGGTCATTTGCGAAGTGGGATGCAGTCCTCCCCTCGCCTGCTAACACCCTGCTCCCTGGCGCTCGGTTATCTGATTTCTCAGGCGCTCCCGCTTTGCTGATTCTCAAAGAACCTTCGAAGTGCTCCCGGAAACTCATGACCCCCTTGGGAAGACAGAGGTACCCCATTGGCTGACGGGAGACTAGGGGGCCCTTCCTGTCCCCCACTTTGCTGGGCACACCCCCACCTCCAGCCCCACTCCAGAACACCTTACTTCATGAAGTCCGGAGCCTTGGCCATCGCGTGTTCAAACTCGGAGAAAGACAGCATGTTGTCATTGTCCAGATCCGACTCATTCAGGACCTGGCCGCGGCGCGGACGGGGCAGAGAGCGGAAGGGGTCAGGTGTGAGATGGGGGATGGGGCTCGGGGTCTGGGGGGGGGCACCGCCTGCAGAGGCTCCCTGCCGGAGGCTTCATGCAGATCCCAGAGTCCCCTAACCCCCCGTGAGGCAGGGTTTTCCTCCCTGCACTGCTACTGCCCCCCAGCCAAGACCCCGAAGCGCAGAGAAATGAGGTCAGATGCACTCAGGTCCAGGGGCTTGTGGGCAGGTCTCAGCATGGAAGGGCCCTCCTGGTGCCTCCAGCACAAACTTGGCAGTGAGAACGGGCGCAGAGTGAACAGGGTGACTCCCCACCACCACCCACCCCTGTCACCCGGCCACAAGCAGGGGCCCTGCACTGCAAGGGGCCCAGTCGGGTCAAGGAGGCAGCGATGACCCTTCCAAGGGGTTAGATCGGCTTCTAGTTCCCATTCAGACCAAAAGCCCTCACAGGTTCTCACGGTCTTAGGACAAGGGGGCCATGCCCTGTTGGGTTCATGTGACGGTCCTCATGTCCTGTCACACTCTGCACTGTCACGCCAGGACCCCTGGCCACTATGTTACACTGGGAAAATGTGGGGAATGGGTGATGTGATGTATTTATTTGCTGCCCGGCTGCTGTTGGGCCACCTGCCTGCAGTGTCGGTGGTGAGAGCGACCCTTGGTGTGGGTGGCTTGGCACAATGCCCTGGGGACCCTGGAAGGGAGTCATGGAAGGAAGTCGCGATCCTGGAGGAAGGGCAGAAAACTGGGGGAAGTGGCCTCCAGCCATGTGCCCCTCCCTCAGGGTGCCTCCCCGCCCGAGTGAGTCTGTGGCTTTGGGTGTCAGCCCGTCCCAGCCCCGCCTGCGCAGCCCTGGCACGCACGTGGCTCGTGAGGTCGGCCAGCAGGTCCTCTGACACGTCGTCGCTGTTGAGCAGTCGGAGGACAATCCTCTGCAGGTCCTCCTCGTCGATGAAGCCGTTCTCGTTAAAGTCTGCAAGGAGGAGGCGGGGCCTGAGAGAAAGGACCCACAGGCTCCCACTGGCCCGTGGACGCCCCGCAGAAGCCAGCTGTTGCTGGTGGGCCTAGAACCTGGCACTCAGTGAGACAGGGCAGGCCTGAGGAGCAGGCGCTACTGCACAGGGCAGGCTGCAGAGGAGGGTGGTGCCTAATAACATGATAAACAAGAAGCAGCAGCAGCAGCAGCAGCATTGATTTAGTGTGTACCTGTTCAAATTTGTCCTGAGAGTTTCACCTGATTTAAGTCACTGAATCTTCACCATCAACCTTTTATTTGTTTCACTGGACCAAAGGGAAACTGAGGCACAGCGGTGTCATCTGCACCTCAGGGAGGGACTTGGACCGGGCTCAGCTGGCCCCCGAGCCCCGAGTCGACCACCGTGCTGTGGAAACGTTGGTCTCAGAGCTCATGAGCCAGTGGGCCTCTGGGTGGCAGGGCGCGGGAGGCAGGGGAGAACGGGAGCCGGGCTGGATGTGGAGCCGAGGGCAGAGGCACGAGCACCTGCT